TTTTATGAAGTACTTTTTGTGGATGTATGGAGCCTCCAAATGTTAGTTTTTTTCCTCTATGTTTTGTTATTGATGTAGTTAATTACCATGGTTTTCTTTGATTACCAAGATATAAGCGTTGAGTCCGCTCCGACCTGAGTGACGTACGCTACATTGGGTTCACGAACACGTGCTCGGTTACCCTCTGTTGCGTACGATATGCGGGTCGGAGGCGAGGTCATGACACTTGGCCTTAGGATTCTTGTGTTGCTTGATGTGCTCCTCAGTAATGGGAGGATGCTTCTTGTTGGCTCTAGACGCCAAGGCATTAGCGACTGTCAGGAATCCAATTGCTTGGGCCACCGTCTTCTTGAGCTGTTTTCGATGCCACCTGCTAATGTTGTAACTTTTCAGCTCTTTATCAAGAGCCTCAAAGTCTGAGCATTCGAGAGTTGTATCTACAAAAGACATATTAGCAGAAGAAAAAGAAGGGTTAGAAGAGTCCAGGATAGAAGATGGGGGAGAGCTTTTAAGGTCGTCACACAGATTGGACGGATCCGAGTGGCTTTTAGCGTCATCACCAGAATTTGACATGTGCAGGGAATCTTTTAGGCATTCGCCCTTCTTAGACCATTGGGGGAGGTTTTAAAGTCGTCACCCTTATCAGACGTGTTCGAAATATGAGCAAAGGAAGGTTCAGAAATTCCCTCTTAATTGGACGGCGGGTTTGGTTAGTGAAAGCGACTGATTCGGGGAAGAAATCCCGCAGGGTTGGTAACAGAGGAAGGGGCTTGAGGAATTCCAACTCGGTCTGGGGTTGAGGGTCTTTCCTCTTTCGGTGGGCGACCCTTGGTGCTTGTCTCTTTTTACCATTTTTGCGAACAGGTGTGAGCTGACCAGGTTCAAGTAGCTTAGGAGCTGGCTTTGCTTGGCGAACCACTTCCCTTCTCATGGACTTCATTTTGTTTCATCCTCGATAGGCTTGTCATGGTTGGGAAGTTGAGGGTTCGTCAGAATCAAAAGGCTCGGGTGGTGCATTCTCATATGAGGTCTGTATCTAAGTGACCTCTTATGTTGGCAATCTAGCGGTTCGAATGTCATCCCCTGAGATAGTGTCAGTGACGTGTCCTTCTTGGACTTTCTCCGTGATTATGGCTTGGAAGGCGAAGCACCCCTCTAAGTCATGACCTTGTATCTGGTGATACGGGCACCAGAGGTACTTGGGCTGTCTCAATGGCTTTGGTACAATGAACCCTACTTGAAGCATCATGCAAAACCTCGCCTGAAGAAGGTCTGGTAGTTCATCAAGATGATATTCTTGCTTGTCTTCTTCTTGTATTGTCACCACATGGGATGCTTCAGCTGCCCCGAATGCCTTCTTGAGGCTATCGCGTTGTATATGTCCCTTTTGGATTAAGGCCTCAACGTGATCTTTGCGAGTGAAGCAATCCTGAACAGGGTGCCCCAACATTCTATGATAGGCATAGTAATTCTTGTGGGTGATAAAATTTGCATCTTCTGGCATTTTCATCTCAAGCAAGGCGATCATCTGTTGCTCTATCATCCGGAGTAGGGTCGGGAACCACTCCTTATCAAAGTTATAAACTTTCTTTCTCTTCGCTACCCAATAGTCCTCTTTGTAAGGGTTCGGAGGTGGATGCACCTTATTGTAGAACTGAGGTTTTTATTGGCTTGCCTAAGGTGTCCCTTGAGTATTTGCATGGTCCACCCTTTAGAGAAATCCAGAGTTTGAGGAGAGGCCTTCTTGGGATCTAATACGGTGACAGTGACACTGATCCTTCATTTCTCTTGATTGCCCCGAGAATTGGGATGAACATTACTGGGGTTTCGACTGTTTCCCCCATTTTATGATTGCGTCTGGTGCCCATTGTGATGCTAGAAAAGGCTTTCTATTCAGACCGCTTTGGAGATCAGATCCGATATAGAAGTTGAGTTTGAAGCTTCAACATGCAGGGAGATCTCCGGCCACATGTTGCGCACACATGTTTCGACCGCATCAATTTCAGGCATGAGGGTAGCTTGGTGCGCAACTAGATCTCTCCATCTTACAATGAATTGATCCACCAGCTCATCTAAGCCCTGGGTCAATGTGAGAAGCTCAATTGCCTGAACTTCTCTTTCAACTTCATAGAAGCTTTTGTAGAACAAGTGATCCATTTCTTCCCTGGTCTGCATAGAGTTTGTGGACAGTCGGGCATACCACTTGAATGTTGGCCCTTCAAGAGTTTCAACAAAATGACAGAGAAGAAGCCTCCCATCAGCGACTATCTCTTGACATGTAGAATAGAAATAGTGTGACGATCCATATTTTTCCCTGCCTAATAGAGTGCGCGGAAGGATAAAGAGGGAGGGGCGATTAATTGAAGGCACGAGCGGCAGATAAGGGTGCATGGCAGAGTGTGCACGTGGTAATGGAAGGCGCGTAGCAGTGGAAGGCGAGCGACTGTGGAAAGCACGCGGCAGTGAAGAGAGAGCAGAAAGAAGAGCGCGCACGGTAGAGAAACGCGTGCGGCAGAGTGCACGCACAGCAGAGTGTATGCGGCGGTAAGAGAAAGGAGAAGGGAAAGAGACATACACAGCAATGATAGAAGTAGAAAGAAGTGCCATCGTGCGAGCCTGTGCATGGCCCTTGATCGCCACCTGCCTGCTGCATGCTGCCACACCCACCACTTGTCCTGTTGCATGTGTGGGGCTTGCCACTTGTCAATCTTTGGGCTGCTACCTTCAGCTAGCATGGTATTTAAGTCTCTCTCTCTCTCTCTCATGTCATTCACTCTCTCTAAAGCCCAACACTTAGAGCCCACTATTACCCCAGTTGAGATTCTTGATAGTATGGAGGTTATGCTTCGATTGGTGCATGCATGTCACTGTTAGTAGACTGTAATAAATTCCATAAATGTTGCTTCTGTTGTATTGGTATTTTACCTAGCCAATTGAGGTCCAATTACTTTCAAATTGACATTTTTGGAAAGATAGGTGTTTATACTTGAACTTTTCCTTTGGAATCATCCCAGAATTACTCAGGATTTGGGAGTTATGCCTCTGTTAAGAGGGACATGTCACTATTAATAAAATGCAGAAAACTCAAGAGTTGTTGTGTATGTTGTACCCAAGAGTTAACTGATCAAACAGTGGTCAACTAACATGGAACCACTTTTGAATGAGATATAACTGTGTCTACTTCAATTGTAGTTTTGTGACAAAGTTGAGATTCTTTATAAACCAGGAGCTATGTCTATTTTCTGTGAGACTATCACACATGAATTAGTGGATGTTATGAATTAGTGAATGCTATGCAATAGTGAACGTCATGACATAGTGAATATTATGAAATAGCGAATGTCAAGAAGCGGAGAATGGTCTCAAATAGTGAATGCCCTAAAGCCGTGAATGCCTATGAAATAGCAAGGGCAGTGAAATAGTGAATGCTTATGATCAGAGTCACGACACAGATATGATATGAAGAACTATGCAATGGGTCATCCATTGAAAGGGTGATGTGGTATGATATAATTGTGATGAGTGCTAGGTGATAAGACCTGTGTAATCAGCTGTGTGACAGATGATATATAGTACGTGATAATTGATTAGCTAACCTGCTTTGAGCGTATTGCATGGCCGGCTATTGACATGGTTATATCTCTGGTAATATGAGATGTATGATTTTCTTAGCATGCTTTGAGCATATTGCATTGCCTGAGATGTGTGACTGACTGACCTGCTTTGAGCATATTGCATGCCCATATTGTGAAATGTGACTGATTAGCATGCTTTGAGCGTATTGCATGACCGGCTATTGACATGGTGATATCTCTGATAATATGAGATGTATTATTTTCTCGGCGTGCTTTGAGCCTATTGCAATGCTTGATATGTGTGACTGATTGGCATGCTTTGAGCATATTGCATGGCCATGATTGACACCACTGAAGTGCGCCTAAGGAGATATGTGACTTCTTGGCATGCTTTGTGCATGATGTATTGCCTGGGATATGTAACTGGCTTGAGGTAGGTGGTTGACCTGAGTAATGTGATCGACCTGAGCAATGTGATTGGCCTGGTTGATTGGGCTAGAGGGTGTGTTAGTATATGTTGACTTTGTTATGTTCTTTTGATGGTTTTGATATATTAGATTATGTTGACCGATTGAGATTTGGATAGATTGCTAATGCATATTATATTTGATATCTGAATTGTGCTTACTCCTCCTTGAAAATAATCATTCTATAATTGTGGTATGATTGCAATACATGACTCATGTTTTTTGAGGATGGTATAGAAGCCTAAATATTGCTGTGAGATATTACTCATAGGCAGGGAAGCATGATATTGTGATCTACTTACTGGGCATCTTGGCTCATTCCTTTGCTTCCTTCCTTGTAGATTAACTGTTGCAGATCGGGGACGAACAGGTGGTGATCGTGAGTGGAAAATTGAAGGCCCGCACTCGAAGAGAAGACCTCTTTGTTTTGTAGGTGTTAGTTGGACATCGGCTGTGTTGTTGGTTGTGAAGCTTTATATTTTTTTTATGGGCCTGTAGTGCCTTAGATGAATTAGAATATGCTAGATATTGTATATAACTCTTGGAGAATGCTTATGGATATGAATGGTTTTAATTTATCCAGCTTTTGTTGTGTTTTTTGTGGGAGTTCCTACTTTCTTTTGTGGTTTGCTCTGATTTCCTTCTTTTCAAATGCGTTGACATTACTCCCATCTGAGTGGCATTCGCGACCTAAGTGATCGTGATCCCACACCTTATCGCCCTCCGGTGAGCTGTGTAGGCGTCAGGGGGCGGGGTCCTGACAGTTATGGTATCAGAACCGCCAGAATAGGATTCTTTGCCAAGAGAGTCTTCGGAGTGTCTTTAGTATGGTCTTGAACAGGATTGTGACTGGGTGCTCTTGTTTTAGGTCAAAGCTATTGAGGACTCGTGCCAATAATGCGAGCTCAACAATGAGAATACCGAGGCCCTCGGTGAATTCTTTAAGACCTTAGGGGCCATGACTCAAATGATCAAGGATAATATGCCAGCTCCGGTTGCCTCTGGCCCAGGACATCTTGATAGTTGCTTTATAGAGAAGTTTAAGAAGTTAGGGCCACCAATCTTTAAGGGACATGGCGGAATGGAGAAAGCTAAATGGTGGCAGATGCAAGTTGAGAAAATCTTTAGGATCTTGCAATGCACAGATGAGCAGCAGTTGAGGTTGGGTACCTACATACTAAAAGGGGACGCTGAGCATTGGTGGCATTCAGTTCAGCAGGCTTGGGAAGAAATGGGGATAGCATCTACTTGGGAAGAATTTTTAGGGGCCTTTAACGAAAAGTATTTTCTTGACTCAGTAAAGGAGAGAAAGGAAGTAGAGTTCATAGAATTACAGCAAGGGAAGTTGACTGTGGAACGTTACACAGCTAAGTTCTCAGAGTTGTCTCGATATGCGCGGCACATTATTGATATGGAGGCTCGTAAAGAAAGTAAGTTTGAGAGGGGCCTTAGACCAGATATTCAAGGAAGGGTAATGGCGGCCAATCTTAAGACTTTCTCCCCACTAGCAGATTTGGTCAGAAAGATAGAGAGAGATTGCAATTGATTAAGGAGGGAGAAGTAGAAGCCAAGGCCCCCACCTCCGAGAGATTTCCAAGAAATAGGAGACAGAAGAAATGGTAAGGTCGAGAAGACCTTTCAGGGCGATATCAAGCAGAACCAGCCGGTGCAGTGTGGTTCTTGTGGGAAGCTCGATCACAAGACTTTCAAGTGATGGCTATAGACGAAGGCATGCTTGAAGTGTGGCAAGCTGCCCCACCTAATTAGAAACTTCCCATGAAGAGTGAGTCTAAGCCAAAGATTCAAGGTTGTGTGTTTGTACTTGTGGACCAGGAGGGAAAGGTTTCTACTTCAGAGGTTCAACATAAGCTCTTTTATTTATTGTAAGAGATACTAGAATTTTGTTTGATAATGATTGCCTTTACACTCGGTTTTGGCATCACATTTTGGATGTTACCTAAGTATTAAATGAGACCTCTTGGCATGCTTTGAGCGTATTGCATGATTATGAAGAGATATGAGTTTCGATTGGCATTCTTTGAGCATATTGCATGGCTAATGATAAGTTACTATCAACATACTTTGAGCGTGTTGTATTGCCTGACTTGTGACTCTTGACTAAATGTGTAAAGCCTGTAATGAAATTCTTTGAGGGGGGATGGAGGGGGGGGGTACTCCTTGGTGATTGACTCAAAATGAGGTATAGTGTTTGGGAGATAGAGTCATGCCCATAGAATTTTTTTTTCTTAGATGCCCTTTTAGGCGTGAGTTGGTTGTGTGTACATGCCTTAGTAGATTGTTTGGAGAGGAATGTCATTGTTAAACCCCCATTTATGTGATGATCAAGTATATGGTTTTCCCGGCCTAGTAGAGTGCGCGACGGGATAAGAAGGGAGGCACACAGCAGTGGATTTTGTGGCAGTGGAAGGCGTGCGCGGCAGAGTGCGTGCATGGCAGTGTAAGGCACGTGGCAGTGGAAGGCGCGCCGTAGTAGAAGGCACGTGGCAGTGGAAGGTATGCAACAGGGGAAGGCGCATAGCAATGGAAGGCGTGCGGCTGTGGAAAGCGCACGGCAGTGAAGAGAGAGCAGAAAGAAGAGCGCGCACGATAGGGAAACGCGGGTGGCAAAGTGTGCGCACGGCAGTAAAGGAATAGAAGAAGAGAGAGTGTGTGCAGTGGAGTGCGCGCAAAGGTAAAAAAAAGGACAAGGGAAAGAGACTCGCACGACAGTGAGAGAAGTAGAAAAAAGTGTCGTCGTGCGAGCCTGTGCATGGCCCTTGGTCGCCACCTGCCTGCTGCAAGCTGCCACACCCACCACTTGTCCGGTTGCATGTGTGGGGCTTACCACTTGTCAATCTTTGGGCTGCCACCTCCAACCAGCATGGTACTTAAGTCTCTCTCTCTCTCTCTC